AGAGAGAGAGAGAGAGAGAGAGAGAGAGAGATCGAGAGAGAGATCGAGAGAGAGACAGAGACAGAGACAGAGAGAAATGTAGAGCATTTAATCAACAGTGGAACCCATTCATTATAGATGAGCATACATTTTCAAATATAAATACTGTTGCAGTGTTACATTTATTTGTATTAGCTGTCCAAAAAATAGTGAGTCTTCGAGTGCAGTGATAGGAAAAGGCCTAGAACAAATAAATGTAACATATGCGATGATTCATTCAGAGAACATTACACAAATCTCCTCTTTTCTCTCAGCAGAGTTCGCCATGACCAATACACAGTACATCTACTCAGACAACCCAGAGCCCGTCGTCATTGACAACGGCTCGGGCATGTGTAAAGCTGGGTTTGCCGGGGATGACGCGCCAAGATGTGTGTTCTCTGCCGTCACTGGACGTCCCAAGTACCAGGCGGTCATGCCTGGGATGGGCCACAAGGACTGTTACATCGGAGACGAAGCCCAGGCCAAGAGAGGAATCCTGAGTATGCGTTACCCTGTAGAACACGGGATTGTCACCAACTGGGACGATATGGAGCAGATCTGGCACCACACTTTCTACAACGAGCTGCGGGTGGCGCCTGAAGAAAGCCCCGTGCTCCTCACAGAAGCGCCACTCAACCCGAAAGCCAACAGAGAGAAGATGACCCAGATTATGTTCGAGACCTTCAACGTCCCCGCGTTTTATGTAGGAATCCAGGCTGTGCTGTCTCTGTACGCTTCTGGTCGCACCACTGGTATGGTGATGGATTCAGGGGACGGCGTGACGCATTTTGTGCCCATTTACGAGGGCTACGCTCTCCCGCACGCCATCAAGAGAGTGGATCTGGCTGGGAGAGATCTTACAGAATACTTGGGCCGAATTCTCAGCGAGAGAGGCTACAGCTATACCTCCTCGTCCGAGAAGGAGATCGTCAGAGACATGAAAGAGAAACTCTGTTACGTGGCTCTGGATTTCGAGCAGGAAATGAGTGCGGCTGCAAAATCGTCTTGTGTGGAAAAATCATACGAGCTTCCCGATGGTGGAGTTGTTACTGTTGGCAACGAGCGTTTCCGTTGTCCTGAAGTTCTCTTCCAGCCGTCTTTCACTGGTCGCGAATCTGCAGGCGTTCACGAGCTGTTGTATAACTCGGTCCAGTCTTGTGATATCGACATCCGCAAAGATTTGCTCCACAATACAGTTCTGTCAGGGGGATCAACCATGTATCCGGGGCTTGCGGACAGGATGCAGAAAGAATTAACGGACTTAGTTCCCCCGTCGAACAAGGTAAAGGTTATTGCCTCTCCAGAGCGGAAGTACTCTGTATGGATCGGCGGATCTATCTTGGCGTCTTTGTCTACCTTCCAGCAGATGTGGATCTCCAAAGAAGAGTACGACGAGTGTGGCCCTTCCATTGTCCACCGAAAGTGTTTCTGAGAACTTGGTGGTCAGAAAATAAAATATATTTACAGAAACTTTAAATGATATTCCAGCAGATCAAAGGGACCCTATATGTAGCATAATTTCTCCAAACTGCACACAATATCCATCTGCTGAGTAGAATAAAAAAAATGTCAGAAGCTTTAACGGGGTACTCTTATAATATATATTGTACATTAAACAACAGCAGCCATTGCAAGTTGCTGAAGGGCCCCGTCGAGACAGGAAAAAGGGGAAACTTTTACGACAGCTCATTAAGTTGGTGTGTCTCTGAAAGAAAATCATAGCAACTTACATATGCTTGTAAAAACCAAGAACTTTGAACAATTAAAAGCTCATATGAGTGATACAGTCAATCTGGCATGATAAAAAGAGGTCCATATTTGCCCTCTACCCCAAAACGCTGAAGTTGGCCGAGTCTTTGGTCCTCAACATCTGGCCCACCTGGTCACAACTTTACAGTTACTCTGGTGTTGTTCATCCTTCTCGTCTTGAGAGGTCGGCTGTTGCTGTGATGGTTTGTATCAACGTGTTTTGAATTTGCAAGAAAGAACATTACCATTGAACGACTGTTGTTTGAAAGCAGTTTCCCCTGTGATGAGAGTGAACGATGTGTTCGGGACAAGTGAGAGGTTGATAATGTGCGAATCTAATTGAAAACGTCTTTATTTTTTAAAATTTATAAATCACAATATATTATTATTAGCATGTTTTTTTCTACATGTCCATGTATTGATATTTGAACGTCACAATGTTCTTCAACAGATGCCACAAAGAATTATTTTCAATTACCGTGTCAAGTTTTGCTACGAGACTTGTTTATTTATGTCAGTTGTTAAACTCATGCAGGTACATTGTTTACATAGTCATTTTATTGGTCATTGCATGCTGTTTTTGTCAAGGAAAAACGTTGACAAATAAATTTTGTTGTTGGTAACAACTGAATCGTATATTCCGTAGTACATGTGTGTTCTTTATTTCGTTTCCCAATCGATGATTAAGACTGTACTTTTTAGTCTTTTTTTTAGTGACTCACTTGAGACATTCCAAAATAATACAAATAGACAGAATTAAGACCAACCAGTAGTATCAGGACGATTGTAAGGGGGGGGGGGGGCTTGCTGTGACCAAACATTGAGATCACTCAGATTATATTCGTGGGCTTTCGTGGTCCACAAGTCAACCGCCTCTCATTCAATAGGTTCCGGGTTCGAATCCTGATAGCCACGGAAAATTTTATTACCTAACATTTTCTCCTTTCACACCCTTTCCTGCTCCCTGACCGCCTTCAGTCGTCTGCTTTCGTTCCCACTTTCTGCCCCAACCCCTTCACCTCACTTTCCCCCTCCTCTGGGCTCCTGACTCTTTCCACAGCGTTTCTACTGCTACTCCTTTGGGTCCTTTTTACTGCTGTCTTTCAGACACAACCCTGATCGTATGGTTAGTAAAATATATACTTCTACCTAACCTTTTCGAATAAGGGTGAAAAATCTTGGAGGTCCCAAGTGCAAGTTTCGCACATTAAAGATCCCTTATTTGCCCCAAATCGATAAGAGTAGGCTTCGGCCGCCACTTGGGTAAAATTCCAAATTTCCTACCAACTGGTGTGTCCCTCTCGCTCATATGACTTTATGCAGTTGCGAGGCGGTAAAACTCTTACCTCCCCCTCCCCCAAGCAAAAAAACACTGAGAAAAACAACAACAAACAAACAACAAAACAAAAACAACAACAACAACAAACAAACAAACAAAAAATCTCAGATTTTTATAAAGGGTGCATTATGACGAAAAAGACAGTGGAACACGCATATAAAAACAAAATGACAATACAAATAGATTCAAAAGTATTTTAATCTTGTTCCACGTTTGAAACCAGGAAAATGGACTCACCTATGCATCTTTATACATGTTCATGATTTGTGTCCTTCGGTCTTAATGCTGAGTAAATCGTCAATGACTTTTTGGCTAAACGGTGTATCCTTCATGAAGAACAATTCATGACCAAGATAATAACTCGTGTCTCTTTTACCTTCCATCCACAACAGGATGCAAAAATTCTGTTGTTTGATGTGATGCTTAGTTTCACGCAATAAATAATTAAAGCGAATTCCCAATAAGTATTCTACACGATGAATCGCTGCATTGAAGTCTGCTCTTCGGCATGAAGTCACAAAAATACAATTATTTGGTGTCAACAATCAAGCGCGCGATGCCTTATCACGTGGCACACTGTGGCTTCGGCACCGGAGCCCTTTTATAGATACAACCGTTTGTTTTGTCTCGGCATTGAGCCATGCAAGGTCAAAAAGACCTCAGTGATATTCATTCTCCACTACTACTACTACTACTACTACTACTACTACTACTACTACTACTACTACTAC